TGTTATTTTAATAACTACAATTTAATGATAATAACCAATAAAACATGTATTATTATAACTGATGGAATGCATTTTTGAATGACATTATTTTAAAAAAGATAAGCGAAGAGATTTATCTTGTGATCATTAATTTCAAGTATTTTTTCGGGTGTTGACCAATTGCCCTTAGCAGTTATTTTCGGCATTTAGAAAATGTACCAGTTGTCTTCAACCAAAACTTAATGCCGAGTGAACTTCAGAAATAGATGTTGGTAGTGGTGGAAGAGTTTTACTTCTTGCACGATAAATACTTTTACGAATGGAGTTTACATTGTGCAATGTTATATCTGAGACTTTTGATTGAATCTCTTCGCGTATTAATTTTAATGGGCGTTTAGAAATATCATTCACGGCTTTTCGTTTTAAAGTATTAGAAATAGTTACTTTCGTTAAATTTTTACGCGATGAATATTTATGTTCGATTACCGATTTTAAAAGCACCTTATAAACAGCTATGAAGTACACGACTTTAATGTATATCATCATTTAATACCTGCTTGTGTAATGTGATCTTTATAAAAAGTGTAATTATTTAAAACTAATAATATTTTTCCTTTTTCACTAAAAATGCTCGTTATGTTTTCCATCATTTTAACGACGTCAGAGTTTTTCGTATACTAAAATGTACTTAACAAAGTATTCATCGTACCACATAGTCGTTTCTTACAACCATAAAAATCCTAATAAAGATATAATAAATGATAATAACACGCGTGTTGTGATAAAGCCTTATATTAGAATTGTCATCTCTCGTTAATTTTATATCGGCAAATAACTCATGGGCGTCTAAAATTACGTATTCTGGTAATACTCTGTCCTTGCAATAGGTGTTTTACTTCTCCTATTTTAAAGATTAGTATTGTAATCGTACATATAATATGAGAGGTCAACTGGTGCATTTTGCTCTGGGTAGTTTTGTGGGATTTGGTATAAAAAAAGTACTTTTGGGGGCAACGCTCATTTTTTCCGAGATATTTTTATATTTTCAATGTTAACTGTGAATCATTATGACCTTTTTGGGCTGAGATTTATAGTACATTGCGGTTTTGGTTTTGTTTATGATCATAAGCCGGTGTCTGTTATGTTTAATTCTACATTATTGAAACTATATGTTTATTATAACTATTCGGAATGTTTTACTTTGTATTATTTCATATTTATAAAAAATTTTTTTTTTTTAGTGCAGTTCCAAATTTAATCAACTTACGCCGTTTAGTTTGGATCGAATAAAATTTTACGAATAGTTAGTTTTTTGAAGAGTAATGGTTTAATCTGCAGACAAAAAAAGAAAAAGAAAGATGTATTATAAAATGTAGACATCGATTTAATATGGGGCGTATATAGAATGTATATATGATATACTTAAATCGGTGTTTTATCGAACTGTACTTCCAAGGTATATTTTCGTTTACAATGCAAATAATGTTGTCTACAATTAGGCAGATTGTATATGAGAAGTATGAAGGTGTTTTTGTTGTCAACGTCATTTGGGTAATATTCGATCATGTGGTGTGTTTAGTCTAACCAAGATACAGTTTTATTTACTAAGATTTTTAAATTTAAATTCGATGCAATGTGTTCGATTTATGTCAAGATACTGCTTTTATATTTTTATATTTTATAAGCTTATTATTAATTTTATCAATATAATTTATAACGATTATCACCTAAATATGTGACGTATGTCATCTATAAAATATTTGATTATTTTTATTCCAGTGAATTTTAAGTTTTAAAGTATAGTATTTTGATTATTAATTTATATTTATAATACAAATTCCCTTTAATCTTTAACAACAAACTTTTTTTCTTATGACTTATACAGATCATATATATCTCGTATAAATATGTGATAGAACAAAGAAAAAAATTAAAGAAAATACATCAAATATTGAATGTCAGTAACTAACCTTGACAAACGATCGCACTAGTCAGTAATCGACCAACCGGTCTTTTAATCTGATCACCATATAGTTCTTAGAAGTTTAGTAAGTTATTTTTTTTTTAATCCCTATCCGATACTTAAAACATTATTGCATTACAAATATTTTAGTGAATTATTCGAGTCAGTATAAACGATTATTTTAAGTAAACTCAGCTAAAATGAACGAATTTCATGTACTATAAAATATGAGTGATGAACTGATGACTAAAGATAACTTACATACATGATGAAATTTGGGATGCTATGAATACGTAAAAATGCAATAACAAGATATTGTATTAAAATTCAAATAACCTTTAAAATTGAAATTTTTTATTAATGGATTTTTGAACTCGCATAATATGTAAATGTAAATTATCAAAGAGCATATGATATTTTTGAAGAACTTATGTAAAAATACTATAAAAATGTATGTATAACCAACAATACAACGTTTAGAAAAAAAATAAGTATGAAATACAATTGTTTGTAGCGGTTTAAATATGAAGATTGAAGTTGGATTATGGTGTACAAAATGTAAATGACGTACTGAGTACTAATATTCTGTGATGTTTGGAATGATTTGGAATATAATAAATAATATGGGATTTAATGTATGCTAAATATTTACTGATTAACCTAATATAAACTAAAATATCAAGATATTATACTTATTTCGTTTTATAGTCCAAATAATATAATTTATGTTAAATACAATAATGAAAAAGTCGGAAATTTCATGACGTTTATATTATTTTTACTTAAAGTGTACTTTTAGTCAAAAGTTATTAAAATATAATGCAATTTTATTTGAGTAATTTTAAATTGCTATATTTTTTTGTAAAATGTTATTAATATTTTAATTTCGATAATAAGAAGCTTAAAGAGATAAAAGCAAATTTAAAACAAATTAGAAATGTCAAGATATTAACCAAGAAACGAATATATATTATTTTTATTTTATAAAAATATTTCCAAGAAATATTTTGTTCCTCTTCGAAGTTTCTGAACTATCAAAATAATGATATATCTTCAAATTATTGGAATTAATAGTTTGGCAAAATGATAGTTTTATTCGTTGAGAATAATTTTACTTACAATATTCAAAACCAAAATGTATGTCAGCGACTTAAGATTATTTAAAATATCACAATCCATTTGAGTTTTAAATTCACAATTACTCATTATAAAAATAATGATAAAGTCATTTTCGTGTATGGAAATTTCTATTTTTCATTTTATTAATTTAAAAATATTTTGGTAGAATATGGTAGTAAACTTGTTATAGTTTGATAAAATATATGCGGAGAAATATTTTTTAATAAGTGTTATTCACGAAGAAACTATTCATATATAATAGAACAGGTGTATATTATATTACGTGGTTTGGTGTATTTTGTTTTATTTGCAACGGTGGTTTTTGTTTCATGTTTTGTACAATGTACTGTTCGAAATAATACTGTATAATATTATATTTCATTTAAATTATGTATTAAAACATCTTATTCGCACACAATGAATCTAAATGTGTTAATCGTTGCTGTCGCCAAAACGTTGAATTCGAAATAAATGTTATACATTCAAGGATTCGTGTATTAGCGTATACGTCGTATTATTACTGTTCAGAGTCAAGTCGTGTTGCAGTACAGGCAGGACGATCGAATAAAACGGATACCTAATGGTCGTGGAAAAAAAATATATAAATGTATGTACAAATGCCATTGCGACAGTCGTATAATGTCAATACACTCAGGACGATTACATGTAATACGACTAAGTACTTTTACAACACCGAACAAATCGAAAACAACATCTTATTAGTTATAACATTTATAGAACACGGTTTCAATTTTGTACACTTTTTAGAATTCGGCACCTAGGCATATTTAGAGGTAGTCGTTCTTGATGGGTATGAGTTTAGACGTATCTATGTGAACTCTAGCCTCTCGAGTTTAAGAGCGTTTCAATAAATAAAAATGCTCCATATTAATGATTCTCAAAATGAAAAAATTAAATTTTTTTTATAATTACTATCACTGATAATATATTTTGTTGGTGTCTCTAACCGAATTCATTGTCAACCATTCTAATCTCATTAAGTATGAAAAAATATTTCCAAAACGTATAATGGGGTTGTAGTATTAAGTAGTTCTATTCCTATATGGTTCAGAGCTCATTCATCGGTGGTCTATTGCACAGGTTTTTTCCATGAAGGGTTTTGAAAGGTATGAGTTGATTTTAGAATTTCTCCCATAGCCTCGCGAAACGCGTCATCGTTACACTTACGTTTTACATGTTCGGTTGTACGACACGATTACCAACCCGGAGTGTTGTCTACACATCATTTGGGTATACGGTCAGGATATAATATTGTGCGTCTTGCAACGATTCGTAACTATTCATCAATGTTGTACGATATTCAGTATATCCACGACATATTTAAACGTTTTTCGACTATTGTTCCCAGACGATTAGAAAAATATAAATACTATTATAATATGTGTATTGTTGCACAGAAGTTAGCGCGTCGCGATCACTCCGTGGACCACTGCCGCCGTTTGTGAAGGTCACGAGCATAACTTGCGGACAACACCATGTCGTGTAATAATAATAATAATTATAATAATAATAATAATTATTATTATTATGTATGTCTAATCGACGATTGTCTGGATGTGTTTTGGAGGTCTGGATTTCGGAGGTACCCGTGGTAGAGGGGGGTGGGGATGGTGACGGAGACGAATGGTAGTTAGGGCGGATAGGAATGCCACAAGGAGGAGGAGAGACGCGATATACGAAATAAATATAAATTCAATATAAAACATCCGTACGACTCTACTACGTATACTATAAAGTATTCTCTCTTTCCCCTGTACACATATCCGTTGTGCCTGCACCAGACGAGAGGGAAGACAGTGGACAAAGTTTCGAGAACGAGTAGGTACTACCATAAACAAACGTGGCACATGACCTTTTCGATGTGGTCGTCGTCGACGGTTCGGTGCACAATTGAAGAGCGCGAATTCCGATCGCATTCACATTGTGCCCGCAGAGCTCTCTGGTCTCCGCGCACTTATTATATCGTTAATATTGCCATTTTGTTTCCACAGTCTTTTAATTATTTTTATGCAAAACAATTCTTTTGTTTTTTGTTTCGGATCATCGTTTATTTGTGATTTCCTTCCACCTCGTTCTTCCTGAGGGTTTGGCCTTGTCGGAGAACCGATTCCTATTTTTTCTTCCGTTAAAAACTAATGAAATCGTTTTCGAGCTCACTACTGCACCTCGGGGGTCAATTAACGACTGGTTTATTCCACTTCTAATACTTTTAAAAGTATTACGTACATCTAAAACTGGTGTTCCTGATCCAAATATGATGTTCTAAATGATTTTGTATTACATTTAATTATAACGTAATAAACTAAAATTTGTTTTAATTCTTTGTTCGTATCTGTCACGATCGAAGGTTAAGATTTTCACTTCTTCCAATATTCATTACGGAAGGACCTAACAACCGATTATGTTATTATTTTTAAAGATCGTTCGTTGAAATTTTACTTTTAAATTCATTTGACTGTTTTTTTTGCAGTTTGAATGCAGTCGTCTTGAAGAGTTATATCTCAAAAATGAAAAAATGTTCGAGATCGACTCGATGGACTCAACAAATCTTCATTACTGTCAATTTGCTTTGGGTAAGTACTTAACGTATTAAATACAACCTATTATCTTCCAATTTATATTTTAAACTATAATATTAATTATTAGAAATAACTAAACAACATAGCTACTTATAATAATTAAATAAATATATGACTACCAAATGTTACAAAAAGCATAAGTAAAAATTGTTAATCACGATGAATGATACGTATATGTGGGTGTATAATTATATTTAAGTCTTATATACACTTGATGTATTACACAGTAATAAAAGTCGTTAAAAAATGTAATAATTGCGTTGGTTTTTTGAATCTGAAGATGTAAAGACAATTTTTAATTATATTAAAACAAAATATGCAATTAAAAATAAAAATAATCACGTGAAATAAATGTAGTATCTACGCTTTATGTTTATTTCCATTTATAATGGTATATTATTATTATTTCCTGCGAATTCTGCTAGAATAATTTTTAGAAAAGAAAGCTCATTCAAAGAATTGAAGTGTAGCTTTTGTACCCTTACTATCCTTAAAGTATTCATTTTAACATTTCATATAATTTAAAATATATATAGTGTATATTTTTTTCATCGAACTTTTAATTTTATTAAAAAAAAAATATAAATGAAGTATCAGAGGTAAATTTTAGATTAAAATAACGATAAAACTTTATAAAAATAATTTAATTTGAGATTATTTTTAGACAAGTAAAAGGTGTTAATACATTTTATTTTTAAATATAAAATTATATAGTATATTTATGTAGTAAATAAAGAACAATAAATCAAATTGTACTTTTTTCTATAAAAAAGTTTTTAAAAAATTGTATTATTAAATAAATATAACGTTAATTATTAATAAAATGTTTACAAATATGATAATTTAAAATTTTTTTTATTGTATTATAGATGTTTGTAAATAATTTATATTTATATATTAATTATCTTATAATCAATCAAACATAAAATCAGTGTTTTAATTTTTTTTATAGTCTGACATTTTTATTAACAGCATATTATTGTAAAATTAATATATTTTTCACTTAGCTAAAAATTAAAAAAAATATACTATTCTATTGGAAATTATATATTTATATATAATTTACATATAAATTACACAATTATAAGTACTTAGTCATGATTAATATCAGTATTTTTAATAACTACTACTCAACTATGTAAAGCTATTACCGTGAACGACATATAATATTGTTTTTAAATTAATTTCGGGTTCATTCAAACGAATGAGATGAATAAGAAATCGTTTAAATTAAAGGTCTGAATATTGGCAAGTAGCCTAAGCTACTTTACTCAGTGTTCGTCAGAATCATTTGAATATTTATATTTGATTTGTTGTAAAAAACTAGTTCAGATAAATATTAAGTTGATTGAGTATTGTCACCTTTTTAGAATATTTAATTTCATCACATCTAGGTAACTCATATAATAGAGTTTCTGCTACACTAACGAACTTTAATAATATCGTTTTTGGCACCTACACAGGCCATTGTTAAAACGACATAAATAACATTATCAGATCGTGAAACTTCGCCTTCAGTGAACTCATACATTTAAAAAATCCGTTTCCATCGCAACGCCCTTTTTGTACTAATAAATAAACAAATTGAATAACTTATAACGAAATAACAAAAGTATTCACTTGTGTATTTGAATAAAATTATATTTTAAAATTCAAAGAATATGATATATAATTTTTAAATTATATGATAAATTATAAATAAATCATATTTATATCCATTGAAAATATGGATATCTTACAATTATTATTTGTATAAATTTAAATAATTTTCATTTCTATTATGGCAATTTGATTTTATGGTAGATTGAAAATAAAAAATATCCTATTTTTTTTCTTCAATAAATAAAAATAATTTCAAAAAATCAATGATTGTATGTAAATTTATTTTAAGTTCTCGCATAAAATCTATAGATTTAGATTAGATGATGTATCATAATTTTATAAAAACGTTTATTAATTAATTTTTAATTTTTATATTTTCATAATAAAAAATGTTATTACCGAAATTGGATCTTCTAAAGAATAACTATTATAAGGAAAAAAAATATATTAAACTAGGTATAATAGTGTTAATTAAATAAAAGTAATCATATTGTATCTACAATTGAATAATATTTTCATTTAGATTTTTAGCACAATGAAGAAACTAATGACTTAATAATGATGTTTATTAAAAATATTTTAAAAAAATAGTTGTTTTTGCGATAAAAATTATACAATGTACATATTTTCATAATATATAAGATCAACTTTTTTTTAAAGAGAAAACTATATTAAGTAGTAAATTATTTATAATATATAATTTTATTAAATTAAAATGAACTATGTTAACAGAGTTTTCAAAACTGAATTTAATGTTTTACTATTACATTTATATGATACAAAAAAAGCTTCAAAAATGAAAAAAAAAGGTTTTTAAAAGTTTGAAGTTTAGTTGGCTCTTATTTTTTTTTTTTAAATCCTCAGTGAAGTGAAGAATATATTGGTTTTACCAATTATAGTTCTTCGTGTTTGTGTAAACAACTTCGATCACAATAATTGCTCCGATCATCATAAAATAAAAATTAAAAGATGAAAATGGTTTCTACTTGATATATTGGAAGAGGGAGGGAGAGTGAATTTTTAAATATTTTTAAATATAATTGAGAGGAAAAAAAAAGTTACAAAAAAACTTCAAATTTCAACTAAGATTCTTAATTCTTATTAAAAATCACCTATCATTTTGTCCATATTATTTTTTTTATTTTTGTTTACACGATTTTGAATAGAAAAATTGCTCCAATTATCATAATAATAGAACTTTTCTGATATCAATTTTTGTCTATTTGATTTATTGATGGAGGTCGTTTCAAGAATTTCACAACAATATTTTAAATTACTGTGAAGAAAAGATAAAAAGTTGTAAAATAATTTAATATTTACAGAATATTAATCTTCGACAAAATAGATTTTTTAAATTCATTGAAATTTAAAAAATTATAATTCTTAAGACTTGACATTTTTATTAAATATTTATAACATCATTTTTTTCAGATGGAATAGTTTTTAACTATTTATGGAAAATTTAAATTACATGATGTTTTCTTTGTTTTGATTGTTTTAATGTTTTTTTTTTTTCAAAAATATTGATAAGATTTAATTTAATTTTGATTTAACAAAAAGCCTTGAAAATGTAATACAAAATTTGTATAAAAAACTATTGTTTTATTATAGATAATATATTATAATACTAGTTAATTGAAAAATTAAGATTCATTTATTTTATAAGCATTTGAAATTTAAATTTGATTTGATATACAAGGATAAATGAATGATATTACATTTATATTTATTGGTATAATTACATTAACTAAATAACTAATATCGTAATACGATACATGATACTATCATGAATACTCGTTGAAATATACGACTTGATCAAAATTTTATTTTGTTACATTTATAAATCATTTTTGTGACTCTCCAGTAATTATTATTTTTGGCTACAAATAAAATTATATAAGAAATGTTGTAAATATCGTATATTGTTTTTAATCTTTAATTATAAAAACTTAAAATGTTAAGAAATGTTAACAACAATGTATTGGATTTTCGGGAATTTTAATATTTTGAAAATATTTAACTTTTAAACACGCGTACATTTTTATTTATTTTTTGTTATTAAAGTCAACTTTTTTTAGATAATTAGAAATAAAGATATATGAAGAACTTTGTATTAAATTTCAAATATTTTTGTTGAACCAAAATTATTTCATCAATATTTTCGAAAAAAAATAAGAAAGCATGAAAACGAAAGTTTTCTTTAAATACTTATTAAATTCAAAATTATTCTATTTATAGAAAATAGTAATATAAGCATTTAGTGAATATTTCAAGTCTCTACACAATTATTATTTTTTTGAGTTACGATGAAAACACAAATTAGATTTTGTTTATAATCGATATGCCATATATTTTGTTGTTTTTTTAAAATTTTTTGTTAGTTTTTTGCAACTAGCAAGAAACTGTTTAGAATGGCTCTTTAAAAATGCCAAATAGATATATTAATATCTTAATATATATATATATATATATATATATATATATTAATATATTTTATCAGAAATCTCATGATTATAATAATTGGAGTAATTCTTTTAATTAAAATTGTGTAAATAGAAAAAATAAAATAAAATAGTATGTGACAATTATAGTTGATGAATCTCGAATTTAGTTAAAGTTTTTTCTTAGTTTTTGAAAATTGACCCATTGAAATATCATCTAGAACCAATTTCATATTTTACTTTTTACTTGGTGATATTTGGATAAATCCGTCTCGTAAAATCGGATGATATAAAATAAAATAATAAGAATGCCTTAAAAATAAATTATTAAAGAATATTTCTCGTTTTCTTTAGATTTATCAATTGAGCTCTGTGGTCGGACACGGAAGACTTATGGAGCCACCTGCAAGAAATAGCATGTGGCGGTTTGGATATCCTAATCCGGTGGACTACAATGATAACGAACTGTTTTGTGGTGGCTATTCTGGTACGATGAAAATTTAAAATATAAAATTATTTTAATTTGTCGAGATTGAATCGATAGTATTAAAACACAGAGTGCGAAAAAAAATAACAAATCAAAAACAAGTAAGATCGTAGTATAATGTATGTTTTTAGTTCAATGGAGCGTTAACGACGGGAAATGTGGAGTGTGCGGGGACGCGTACGATCAAGCTCAGCCTAGACGACATGAAGCGGGGGGTGAATACGGTCGAGGGATAATCAGCAGGCATTATTTTGCAGGTCAGGTAAGGTCAATTGAAATAATTACAAGCGTGTTGCTGTTACCCGCTCGAATGAATGAAGGGCATAATACTATCGCTATTGTTGTGATGGTTTTGATTACGTTTGTCGCGATTTAATTTTTCCCGATCGTAAAATACCTACCAATATTTTCTACATCGTTTGCAACACATAAGATATCTATTTGATAACATATATAACTTGCCGCAATCGATATACTTTATTATTTAATCGTCGAATAAAGTTTGGTGCACTATTGGTGAGTGGGATAAAAGGATCGAGAGGGGGTGGGGGCGGGCGAGAAAATAAAATATAAAGACCTTCTAATATGAAATCTATGGAAGTAATTACCATTTACACTTTAACTTTTCTTAAGAACTTTAATGGCCTCGTGAAATATTAATAAAACACAATTTGGGAAAGAAAGTTTTAGCGAAACTTTTACTTGGTATGTCATTTCGAATTGAAATCTTCTAAAGAACCAGAGCTTTTTGGAAATTATCAAAATTCTCTGTTAAATGTTATAGATAAAGGCTATTGAAATTGGTTGCATATAATTAACGTTGGGTCACACACAAATGTAATTTACAATAATGATATCGAAGAACGAAGAATGAGAAATTTGATTTTTTCATTCTCTTTAGTGAAACTCAATGATCGTATAAAAAGTTGAAATATATTAATGGTTTAGCACAAAGTATACTTTAATTAAAACGAAAATTGGATTTGCTTCTAAGAAAGTAAATTAAGTTTGTTTTAGCTGTTCATAAATTTAACTCTTTATGTAGCTTAAATAAATAATACGTTTATTTTTAATTACATTGGTTTACTAATAAACTTAAAATATTACAATTTTTAAACTGATAATAAACGTACCATATTATATAAACTAGGTCATAAAGTTTTAACATTTCTAAAATGTATAAAGTAAACTTTTTCTTGTTTAATTACATGGAATTGCTTAAACCTTATTTATCGGTGATGTCCTAAATCATATTGATATTAAGACGGCTTACAAACAAATGTTCAACGAATGTTGTTGTATTCGAATTAGAAAAAATGAATGCCTTGTGCATTTAAAGTAAATATCCACTAATTTTTTGATTCTATAATAATAATTATTGTTTAATTTTTTGTGTAAAAATAATTGTATTATATTCAAATATAATCAGATTTCTCCAATCAATTTTTTAAATTGGACATTAGTAATAAATGTATGAATTTATTCTAAACATTGAATTATTTTTATTTTGTTTTCAATTTAATTAAAAATATAAGTTATATAATAAAATAATAATTATATTTTACGAGAAAAAAATTAGATTACTACTTGAGCCGAATACTATCGGTGTATACTTTAGGACTGGTAATAATTTTAATTTTTGAATCGAAAAATACATTTATTGTACATTTGTGTTATTTAGCTGTCCCGAAGGAAAATGCTGATTTTTTTCATTGAATAAATAGTTTTTCGTAATATTTGAAGTTCAATTTTAATCATGATAAATTGTATTGACTAATCATTTTTCTCAACAATTATTTTATTATATTTATACGTAAATATTAAAAAGTAATTAATATTTATGAGTGTCGTTATATACGCATGAATAATGATAAATTCATTATATTAAGTAGACATTGCTCCATTTTAACGGAAAATTATCTGCATAGGTATAAAAATAGTAATACGACACGATAAGTATCCACTCTCGATAATGTTTAATTATAGAAAAAAAATATATAATAATTTTGTTACCTTATGTCTTTTAATGAAAAATTATCTTGTTCTTAATTAGATACGTGAAGTTGGTGTTCAATGTAAGGCGAATAATCCATAAAAAAAGTTAATAGTCAATATAAGAACCTATTAGCTAATTATGATAATATATAAATATTGTTAGTTATTTTGTTCAATAACTTGCATTATTTAACTTTTTTTTTTATTTATTATAATTATAAAATGTTTCAGCACATTTAGTGCTATTACAACTATTTTAGTTTTTTACAATTGTAAGTTATAGATCTAAATGTTATGACTTTGTTGAGTCATAGATTTTTAGTGAAAGTTATAATAATGTGATAATTTAATACTAATTTTAATAATATTTAATAATATAATAATTTAACTTAATACGATTCTAAAATAGTCACTTAAAGTATGTCCTAAACGTTTATGTAGACTTCGGACTTTAAAAACATATACGTTAAAAAAGTTATATATTTTTGCTATCTATTATTTCTAATAAATAATCATGAGACAAATATTTCTTCTGTTTCGATACTTGAAATTATATAAAAATTATGTTTTAAACTAGGTTTGAAAATCTTAAAAGAACGTTCAATGTTACGCGTTACAAGATAATAATGTAGCGATTCCTTGATTTTCGTTACCATAGTATTACAATAAAAATAATCCGTTTACTGGGTTTTAGACAATTGATGTTGAGATCGAACTAACTGCCAACCACAAAGGAAGATTCGAAATGTATCTCTGTCCAAACAATAATCCTAGATACGAAGCGACCGAACCGTGTTTAGAAAGGTAGGCAAATAAATGTACGGTTACGTAGTAATATTCGTCTATCATGAAAATGTTAGGCGTTCATTAACCACATATTTAATTTTACACCATAATAAATCAACGGTTTTACTGTTACTTATAAGTCTTGTCCGTTTAAACATTCAGAATACGTTTAATAACCACGAAACGATTGGGGTTATATAAAATATTATTTACGTTTGATTTTTACATTCAAGGTATCCGCTGTACATATCTGGCACTCGACAGGTTCGTTATCTCATTCCGGAGAATTCAAAGAAGAAAGACATATTCAAGTACAAAGTAAGGTTACCGCCTTATCTCACGTGTACTCAATGTGTTCTTCAATGGACTTATTATACCGGTGAGTTCGTTTATTAGTATTTAACGATTGATTTTTTTTCGTTTACACTGGTCACGAGCATTCGTCGTAGTGTGTTTGAATTAGTTATTTATGATTTAATGGAATAATATTATCTTATAAAGTTAGTAGACAACTTTTTTTACCATAAAATTACAATAGTATATAAAATGGTTTTTGTAAAAAATATAGTAAATTCTTAAATGATTTTATGTTCGATTTGTGAAAATCAAACTGTTTGTTTTCATTTGTTTATTTTTTTTAAATACGAAATTTTTATTTAAAATGTTTCATATCTGTATAGAATTACACATGTTTTAAGTCTGGATGTTTTTAATAAAATTTGTGTTAAGTTTATTTTAGTATATATGATATACGTGATTTCATTGATTATTAACGACATTGTATACGACTTTACTATACGATTTAAATTATTTTTTGATTTAAATAATTAAAACATCATTCAACAACGTAAAGTAATGTTCAAAAATAATAATTTATACATTTATTTATTAGCTGACATTGTTAATTATTTATAAAAAATATAAAAAAATATTAGATCTGTTATAAACTTTATTAAAAACATTTATTTATTAGTCTTAGGTACCACCACCATTCGGCCTCCCATGTACCACCCTTAGTCTTCCACGTAGCATTAAGTAACGCGTACCTCAGTTTGAGAATCATTGCTCTACATCATGTACAAGGAATTAACATTTTTATTATACTGATATATTTACATTATTTTCCATTATAAAATATTCTTCCATCGCAATTTATTATAATATGCTTTTTATAAATAGTAATATATTCTGGAAAAACTCAGCATTATTTAAGAGAATAATTTTCAATTTATTTCATTTTATAAAAATTGTATTTTTTACATCTACTAAATAAGTTGATATATATCTTGTTTATAAAACTTGTGCTTATAATATTATACATAAGTTAAAATTTAAGTTTAAATTCGAATACTTTTTATATTAAAGAGTTTTATTTAGTATTTAGTATACGTTATGATATGTTTAATGAAACTATTGATATCTAATTTTGCATTTTCAATTTCGCAATTAACTTAATTCGTTGGAAATACAGAATATATTTATTCCAGTAGAAAGAAAAGACGACGTATTTTATTTAAAATTTAAATAGAAATGTTGCAAAATTACAATAGTTTTAAGAATTTTAGTTAAAATAAACTTACATACGATATAATAATTATAATTCAATAAAATAAATTGTATCATCAAAACTTTAAGTTTCTAAGGATTTATGTTATATGCAATATTATATCAATGGCGTACCCAAGGCGGGGGATTTCGCGTTCGGACCCCCCACTGAAATTTCTACATTCTCAACGATTTAATAGTAAATAGTATAATAATAGTATATAGTGTATTTTAATTTCCCACTATTAGATAAAATAAAAGTATTGGACCCCCGCTCCTGTATCATAAAATTCATAATCATAATAAAATTTATAATTTTTAATTAGTATAATTATTATTATACGTCATAGTAGTAATATGTGTAATGTATGTACGATTTTAAATAAATAATCTCGATAATCCTACAAACTTAAATGACTTTAAAACTCACATTTTATTTATTTTAAATAAAGTTAATAGCTTTGAGTAACTAGTTTATGTTTAGATGGAATATTTTTCTTCCTTGATTATTAATACTGTGTATATGATTCTGGGTCACAACTTTGGTATATACTTCAATTGTATTTTATTTTTAAACATATTTTTAGCACGTTTATGTACTTATATTTTGAATTAATACTTTTATATACACATATTTTCTTTTGACTGTTTGGCTGAAAATTAAATATATTTGTCATACAAATATATTTCTATGAATTTTAATGAAAATAATGTTTAATAATGAATATGAAATATTTATCGCCAAGTTTTTTAATTTTTTTTTTTTTTTTTTTTTTTAATTAGAAATAATTCAGGAAAGAAATTCGTACTATAAATCAGTATAAAATAATAAAAATACTTTTAAATATTTAACGAAATAAAAGTGATGTGACAGAAGGACTAAGTAAGCAATAATGTTATAATAGGCTATTAACATTCATCAAAATTAAATCAACTATGTGTTATTAATTATTATTGATTTGTTAGTTACCTATTTAACAATATTTGCTGAATAAGTTTTTTTGTCCTATACTGTATAACATGCATTTAAAATCTAATTTACTTTTGATGTGGTTCAATATATTTTCATGTACATATATTACATAGAAAGATTTTATTAGGATGTAAACAAATTATCAATTGATTTGAATATTTATATTCTAGTTTCTTTTTGTTTAAAAATACGTGGGCGTTCTCACGGGGAGGAATGAGGAGTTGGACTCTCCATGGCCTTTTTTTTTTTTAAGTAGAATGAATTTTCTTGATTAACTGATAGGGTGGATCTTTTTTTGCCCAAAAATGACTTTCCTCTTTTCGCTCACGTCCTCTTTTCGACCAAATATGATAAAATAGTTTCCTCTTTTTGCCTAAAAGTATTAGCATTCTTTTCACTCACAGTTTTACGTTCAATAATTAATTACTTAACAAAACTTGACAAAAACGTTACAACTAAAATATAATTTCGAAGTAATTCACAAGTGAACTTATGTTAATATCATTATATTGGTCGTCATTGTGTAATCACCAATTTTTTCCAAAAACATATTTCGATCCATTTAATAATAAGCTGGTATCAATACTCGCAAAAACGTAACATATTATCAAAATAAACTCGAGAAATGTCACTAAATGTAAGCATGATTCTAATAGTAGAGATTATCATTTTTTTTATAACTAACAAGATTTTGCATAAAAATGTATGTATTGTAATTTGAGGTGTTAAAAAAAATGTTGGTGATAGAGTAGCATATTCATTACAATTCTTAGAGTCTATAATAATCTAAGAATAACTTTTTTTATTAGTTCATAAGCAATCAAAGTCAAAACTGGAATAATTCATGTTTTAGAACTCATTTGGTGTGACATGATTATTGCTCTTAAATATTTGACATGTCATGTAATCGTATGTGTTTGTGTGCTTATTGTTCTTTCCAAACAGCGATTATCCCGCATCTACCTACGTATACACTTGAATTGGACTTCTGAGGATGACAAACCTCCATGTATTGTGTCTGTCCCATAAACGTACATCTTAAAGACCAAGTATTTATAGAATTAAAATAGATTTTCTACCACGAAAAGTGACGAACGACGACGTTGTTAAAAATTAAAAAAAAAAAAAAATAACAATATAGACAAAGATTTGAATTATAATTATAATACTTTTTGTTTTTTCTTGATCATAGTATTTAACATGCATGTTACGCCTCTGCTATTTGTACGGAACAGACGGTAATATAAAATTTCATATTTGTAATTTTTTAATTTCGATCTTACATAGTTCGAAACCGCTTACCTGCTGTAATGTGTTTCGCATGGGAACTCACCGAACCCCTATACCGAAGATAACCGCTGTCGATCGGTCAACCGACCAAACGGTGATAAAAAAAAAAAAAATTGGTAACGGGGATGTTTTATTGTTGTTCTTAAAATGTACATACGTTCATACACACTTACTGCACGGATCGGGTTTTATTGGTACGCAAAACGATGATAATAATGGCCGAGGACGGTGGTCTGTTCGCAGGCAACATGTGGGGCAAATGCGACAACGGGACGGAAGGACTGGGCTGCGGGCGACCGGAGACGTTCCGGAACTGTGCCGACGTGAAAATAGTGACCAGCACGTCGGGCCTGCCGCCGCAGTTCATACACAACCGACCGCAGCAGCACCACTACAGTTCGGCTCTCCGGGGCAGCGACCTGAGTATAGCGCCACAGGTTTACTACCCACTTGTGGTCAAGTAAGTCTTCGTGCCGCTGCCGATTCGCTCGTATTTCCATTGCCGGCCACATGTAACCATAGGACCCGAAAACGTGGGCCGTCCGACAAAACCGTTGCTCGTTTGAACACGGAACCGTGAGCTTTTCCGCTTTTCGCCACCGTTAAAAGCAGTAACGAGTCCGTCATCGTTCGAAAAACGCGCGTTCAAAGTCCGTTCGGTTTTACGGCGCTCGGTTCTACAGCGCAAACGTTCCGGCGGCGTTTTGTGCTCGACTCCCGTCTTCCAATAAGGTCCGAGGAAGGTTGCCGAAGGGATCGCGCCAAAGGATCCGGTACAGATTTCGAAAAAAACCTGATGAATCTCACCCGTTCGGCAACGCGGGGAAATAAACGAACAAACTAAAACGTGTCGCCAAAAACCGTCTTTTCACCCGGTTCCGTGCGCGGATTCCGTTGCGCGCGCTCAACCTCACCGGCGCGCGGACGCCGAACGTTGGATCGCGCGAGCCCATTCGTTGCGGCCGCACGTACAAGCGCGCCTCCAGGATAAAATCCTACCCGGGGTAAGATTAAAATTCTAAGGGCCAAAACAACGTGTACCTAAAAATAGATAAGAACAAAATCAAACACCATAGAAAACCATGTTTACGTGGACATTCCGGTCGTTGTAACGACACCCGGACGAAACGGTCGCGATTCCTTCGGCCTCCCGTCGCCGACCCGTTATCGTTCGGTCGGCAAATGGGCCGCGCGCGTTCCGCTGGTTAACGGTTCGACGCGCCGTGCGGATAGTGTGACCGCGCGCGGCCGTTCCGTTCGTCACGCGGACGGCCGAACGCGGCTAAAACGGTCGTGGACTTTCGTCTCGTCGAAATCGTTCGTTTTCGTTTCACGCATTCCCCCATACCCCGCCACTCGTCGAGTAATCGTAACCTACCGCGTCGACACGCGTGCACGCAGGAGTCGGTGTACGCAGACGTTTCTTATACATTTCCTTCAAGACGGTACATATTACCTCTCGGTACATCGTCGGTCCGTTTCCGTATCCTCTGGAAAGCGTAAACAGCCGCAAACGTTTTCTTTTACTTTTCACAATCATCGACAAAAAGTGGATTAAAGTATGCGCGGTATACGAGAGGATATATCTATATATATATATATATATACACGCGTTCGTATAAATCGTTTTGCAGAGACATTTGAGGTTTATACAATCACTTAGTCGGACTATTCAGATTCCAACGAATATATATATGTAATACAATCGACCGTCCCACGCAGAAAATAATAATGTTTTGTGCAACTCTTTTCTCTCGATATTTTACAATTTATAAATAAATTTTATACATTGCCGATATTAAATGAAATGCTTTCACATACTATGCAGTTATTAAAATAATAAAATAAGACAAACAAACTTCTGTTTACATTTTCCGTTTGAAAATATTTTTCAAGAAAAGTTATAGAATTTTAGTAGAAAATTACTTTATATTTAATTAATTTCACGTACATTTGAAAACGATGGCTAAGTTTAAGTTTCCATTCCACTCTGCAAAAGCTTTTTGTGGTTATACATTAATATATTTGTCACTTGCCAGCTTTCAGCAACAGTTATACATTTTCTTTAAGTAATAATTCGAAAATATTACTTTTAGCGGAATAATTATTAAATATTTTAACAAACGCAACTGTGTTCACTTTTGATACAATTTATTAAAAATGATTGTTTCACAATTTACAATATTATTATTGAATTTATGTGTATGGTTTATTATGCAAACATGTATCTATTGAACATTCTACTAAAATTTAAATTTAACGTTGGTATTAAATATTATTTTTAAAACAAATTAGTTACCAAAAAACTATAATTGTGTGTACATAATATTATGAATATCATGACTCATAACGATTATGTCCAATAAAATAAATAAAAATTAACTTTTTAACGTTAAATACTATAGGTTAATGTTATATATGGTAATATTAATTTATTATGATGTTTTATCATTATTTAATAATTGTATGATACACATAAAAACAATTATTTTTATTAATACATTAAACGGAAATCATTAATTATTATATAAAATAATCTCTAAACAACAAATTAATATATAAATTAATAAACAAATAATTTATATATAGAAATAAATAAATCAATAAAAGCTTAGCCTGGAGTATTATTATATTTATAAAATACGACTCATTTTGAGTCAAAAAGTCATTGTCAGGTATATACAAATTCATTAAAATCGCGACTAACCTATCTGGTCATACTTTACAAGTATATTAACATTCCAGACCTAAGCTTTTATTTTTTTCTATATATAAACAATTTGTGTGTTTACTTATATATTAATTTATGAGTATTAATCATTAAATAGTTTTTAATTTTAATTTAAATTTTTTATTATTTTATTACATATTAAATGCCTATACTATAATATTTTATATTATACGTTCATATAAAATTAAGCTATTTGTATGAATATTTATAAAACAGCATAAGACATTGTTATATACTCGGTTCATAAATTATTATTCTTTTGATGATATTGAATTCAATGTTATTCAGTTAAAATTAAAAACTAACAACACTACATACACATTTCTAAATAATTAATTTAGAAATATTTATATGGTAGATAAAATATTAAAGTAATAATTCAGAGCAAAATATTTTAAGAGTACCCAAAGATAATTCAAAATGTCAACTTACAAATGCTAAGAATACATGACTATATTTTAATATATTCAGAGTTTCTCCACTTTTGTTGGTCTTAATAAAGTTTATAATATATAAAAATATGCATACTCGTAAGTAAATAAAATCATATTTTAACGAATAATAATTCATTTTTGTTAGTGACTCAAGACTCAGGTAAATTGTTAATGCTGGAAACTTTTTTAATACTATGGAAATGAATGCTATTCAAAAGTTTTTAAACTTATAATAAAGTCAGTATTAACTAATATGGCCTTCTGGTGATTTATTGGTTTTATTTTCAAAACAAGTTTCTTTAATATACGATTCGATTTCATAATAAAACAATAACATTTTTTAATTAATAATATATATCAATTGGCTTTAATTAAATATAATAAAGCATAAAATGTTCATACATTTTTTTTAGTGATTTTTTTTTATAAAAATAAAAGACAGTACCGAAAATAATAATGTTATAAAATGAATACACTAAATCACGTTGTTTATGCTTATACATATATTTATTTTTATTTTATTCTATTATAAAGCTGAGATGACAGAACCCACTATATATATCCTTTAAATTATAAGACGAACTACCCTACTGTTTCAATAATTATAATAAACTAAATGGAAATCTATTCATTATTTTTTCAATATAATCACTTGACCCATTTCATAATAACATGTCAACTTAATAATGTTTTTAGTTTACAATTAAATTTTTTTTTTCGTGTATGGTATATTATTATGTATATTATGTTTTATAACCAGAGTATCATATTATTTATCTTTTGAAATATTTTTATTGATATTGAACATAATATGACAAAGTTATTAAATATTTGCTATGTTATTTTTATTTAATGAAATTTCGATTTGTGTTCTGAAGAATGAATAAATTATATTTAAAATTAAATAATAATAATTCCTATATAAATATTTGGCAAGTAATTTTTTCTTTTTATCCTGCGCTTTTATAAATTTAAATATTTTTACAAGTATTGAAAACTTTTTTTGTCAGAATGTTTTTAATTTCATATTTTCCTAGCAGCTAACTCATTTTAAACGAAATCTGCCATGTATTAGGATTTAGCTGTACACGCTCTACACTCATACATTTATAATAACATTAATAACGATCTTACAAGATTAAATTATTTTAATTTTATTCAAACAAAATTTATCCTTATAAATAAATGCGTTGTATATCAATGTTTACTTTTAATTTAGAGCCCAAGTGTGTGTGGCGACGCAGAAGTATCGTATCGTTCCCGGAATGGATAAATGGTGTGAAAACAATTGTGTAAACTTTCCATCAAACTGCCCTGAAGAATTCTGTACTTGCCCGTGAGTTTCTTTACAACGTTATTACACTTGTTGTACAACAAAACAATCGTACCAATTAAATAGCTTGAAATTATCGTGTTTTTAGAGAACAATGTACCGGTATTGGTGAAATAACAGGATTACCGGGAGCCGACGAATACTGCCAGGACCAATGCATTGTATATGGCGCGAAATGTCCGAAGAAACGGTGTGTCTGCTATTGACCTGATTTGACTTTGATTTTTATTTTCTGTACAGTTCTTGAACAATATATATATATTTAAGCAATCAGATACTTTGCTCTATTTGCCAATATAAAAAACGTTTTTTTTTTTTTTTATCTTTTTCCTTAATTTGATATTGGTATTATATTTTATGTAGCAAGGATAGCAAAATTTGATATAAATGCTATGTTATATATAAATAATTTAGTAAAATGTTTAATCGCTTCTCATTGAAAACGGTATTGTTTTTTCCGATACACGAATTTTAGCGAAATGTGTTCACGTTTCTTGACGTATTTCATGTGTTGCACATTTTATAATGCAGTCGTTGTGGTAAAAAACAATATCATACGTGTTCTTCAAAAATGTATCAAATACCCGATTAATATTTCCTAGGGTGAAAAAGATAAAAAAATTTCAAACCATAAATCTATAAATACTTTTTGAATATTAAAATGTTGTTATGATTCTATAATAAACAGCGTTCGAGGTGCGAAAAAGAGAATAAGAAAACATCTATAAAACTATGGCTACATGTATTACATTATAAAATGTTATGCGTGCAACTATTAAAATGCACTATTTTTTTTTTTTTATATTATAATATTTATGATTTATCTTTTCTGAAACATTTTTAAAATATGTAATACGTGCTTGTATTGTTTTTAATACTATAATATCATATTTTTCAAGTTGATTATGTTTGGAGTTTTCAAAGTTTTCTATTTGAAAACATCAATTATTAAATGTTATATTATTTGCGAAACTTCCACTTCCTTTTCTTTGTATTCCAAGTATTTTATTTACATTTGTAATTTATAGTAGTACGATTATTTACCTGTATGATTATATATTCGTAATTGTAGTACTATATTAATTGAATGACTAAACTCCTATATTTTTTTTTAAATGTATTTTACTTACACGTATTAAATGAGAGATACTTACTAATAATAATTGAGAGTTTACAGAGTTTCGATTAATTATTCTGTGATTTATCGAAGAAATTAAAGTTACTGGATGAAGTTTCTTCTGTAAGCCCCTTTTTAATCTGACAGTTTCGAATTCAATAAATCTTTAAAAGTTTATTTTTTGAATTATTTGTAAATTAATTTGAAATAACTTATTCCATAATTATTAATTATTTGTGACAGTTGAGCAAAAACAGTTATAATGTAAGTTTTATAATAATTAAATTGAATCGGAAACGATGCACAACTTCAACTAATATGATATTTTATAAGTATAGGCATTTGTCAAATGGCTAAATAATTGTGCCATATTAATTTCAAAATTGACGTTGATGATTATAAACGTACTTTGCAAATTAAAAGATTGGTAAGCCATGATAAAACTATTATTATTTTTATAATAATCAATGTTATATAATTCCAAACCATAATAATTATTATTTTAAAATAAAACAGTCACGGATTATAAAGCATAATACAACAATTGTAAATGATGATTTTAGATCTAATTTAAAAAAAAAATATCTCCAGGAAATATTTGAACAAAAAGTGTTTTTGGAACTTAAAAATTATATTGACTTTAAAATAATACAATAGTGTTGTTAGGCGTCATTTAAGTTGTAAATTAAAAATATGGAAAACATAAAATTCAAATTTAATATGCAAATACTTAAGGCTTTTTCTTTTTACAAATAATTACATCTAGCAAATACATTAATATATAATATTTAAGAAGACTATTTCTTATACTATACTGTCTGTATGTAATATTAAACAAAAAATTCATAATTTATTTAGGCTTTAAGTCAGAAGTTGATGGAATTATTTTTGGATAAGATTACGGATCATCATAATTTTTCCCCGCTAGCATTTAGTAATTCGGTCTCCTTTTATTTTTTAAACAAAATGGTGATTGTAAATCGTAGTGCATTAGGTACTTTACATTTAAAACAAATGCTCCGAAAGCGTAATGTTATTAGGATCAGTAAAGGAATTTAAAATTTGGTAATTTGAATATGAAAAATGTTCAAATATGAAGGATATAAAAAAAAATATTTCCTAATAAATTACGGAAAACCTTGCCTATAACGTAAAACAAATAAACTGCAGTTATTATAGTCACCATTTTTAGTTTTCGTAGGAATTTGTATGTATTTTGTTGTATTGGCAGAAAACATAAAAAAATAATCAATATCACTCCTGTAATAGTATAAAAGCATAAACGTTTTCGTCTGTTTTCAACTCAAAATCCGCATATGTTTTATTTTTTGTTGCCTGGAATAGTAAAATAAGCAGTGTACCTACATGAAAAAGTGATGGTTGATTGTTTAATTTATCGGCGAACTCGAAAACATTCATCCGAAATCATTATTATTATTAAAAGTTGTGTGAAGTCAACAAAATGTTTTAATTTTAATTTCTTTATACGTAATAATTATAATATACACAAATGGTTATAGGTTGGGTCACTTTTTTGGGGAAGTTGCATATGTATATATTATGAAATTATTCGTTGACGATTCTTGTCGATTAAAATTATTAGCAATTAATTATTATTGTTCTATTTCTATGCTAAACATATTTTAGTGACTTTACGGCTCATTATCTGTCAGACAAGTGCATATGATGTTCTTTGGTGATTATATATACTCGGGCCTTTTCGTACTTCAAAGTATAGTAATTATTGAAATAACATAGCGTTTGAGAGGACGGAACACATTAAACGCTTCTAACGAATTTGCATATGTCTTAAGTTTTGAGTGAACAAAACTATCCAACGTTGCAGCAGTAGGTATTCATTACGTTTCAGCATGATTTAATAACCCTGATATGTTTCATTATAAAATCAATAGTTTTAATAACTTCTGTAGGACAACTGATGCGATGGTTGAAAACGAGTCGATATTATAAACGAACGCGTTGTCGCCAGTCCGAATACAACGAAATAAATTAATATAAAATGCCAAACGCAAAAGCCACGCGTTGTATCATGTGTATATAAAATACACAATAATACTAGTACAAAACGCCAAATCCAAAACTACACATTAAGGATTAAGTATATACGGTCCATTGTCACAGGGCGGTAAAACTTTTAATTAAACTTTTACTCCCGAAAACCACTTTATCATCCTAACTCCTATGTACTAATATAATATTATTCGTCGAATATCCTTCTCCTTGATTGACATTACTATATACTAGCTAGTTTTTATAGTGAAAGTCCTTCTAATATATAATACGTATGAAAAATCGTATTGTACAGTTGCCTAAATGTGCTAATACTGCAACGAATCATTGGGCAAATTATTGTGACAAATTTTTTCCCACCTATAACACCAACATTTCTTTTTAAAGTATTTTTACCACCATTTTTTCTAAAGTGGTGTTTTTCTTTTTTGGGTCAATAATATTTTCGGCTTATTCGAATTATCATAAATTTATTATGTACAACAATATTTGTAGAAAACTGTACTTTCAATCCAGTATATTTTTTCATTGATTTCATTAAAGAAATGTATAACAAAAAAACCAGATTTTTTTATATTTATTTTACTCGTATAAAAATATAGTGCTTTGAAAAACAATAACTTTGGTGGTTTGAAAATTGCTGTCAGACTATTGCAGTATTTAAATATAAATTGTGTTTTATACGTGATGTCATAAAATCACACCGTTCGATGGGATATATCTAAAATACTTGTGTGGTATTATTTCACGTGATTAAAATAACTATAGGAAAACATCGATTTAAGGTATAATTTATTAATGTATATTTATATAAAGGTTTTATATGTCTTCAGATGATTGTATTTTTTATAGTATTATAATTTGTTTCAGGGTAGTTTATAGGATTGACAAAAAATATAAATATTACTTACAAGGTATATATATACCTACCTGTAATGTTATATATAAGCTTTCTGGAAATTCGTTCGCAGAAATAAATCACCCACGAGTATACCAAGTTCATTTAGCCTCAATAATATGGTTAGTTGATTCAGCAAACTTGTTTGTGAATTATTTGAAATGTAATTATATATTTCTAATATCTTCATCTCCTATTTCTTTATCTACCTCTACCTACAATCTTTCTAATAATGCTTATTTCTTTATTTATGAAGTTGTTTTTCACCTATCATCTCTTCGTAGAAGATCTTCCCCTAATGGTATACCAAGGGATTTTTTTTTAAATTACGTGATATTCTTTTTTAGCTTTTTTTGGTTTTTATTTAGGGAATCGTTCGATGAAAGTATTTTTCCATTCGTTCTTATAATATGTTCTTTAATAACAATTTTAAAAATAGAGGACCCGTAAAATGTTATTAAAACTATCGCAACTATCTCTCATATAGCAAACATTTTTGAATCATTAGTTCTCTGCTTTATTCAACTTCAAGTTATTTCCATTCTAATTGATAAATAGCATAGGTTCCGGCTAAGAACATCAACACTTACTTACAATTTTATGTTTACCTCCTTTATTTTCATATCTTTCGCTCATTACACACACACAAGTATATACGATCTGTACAGACTTTTCTGAAGCCATTGACCGAGTTGACCATGGTATCCTTATAAAATCTTTATCAGACTCTGAATTCGGCGAACCAATTATTTTTTGACTCTCATTTTATTCGAATGACCGAAAACAATGGGTTGAATATAATTCTACAATTTCTAATATTATAACCTTTTCTTCAGGTGTATCTTAAGACGCCACTCTCTCTCCATTATTATTTTTCAATCTTGAAAAATTGAAAATATTCCAAATACTCCAATATGGTTCTGTTTTTTGGAAACCTCAATAATTCACTATTGCCGCTATAATCGAGAGTTCAACTTAAATTTCTAAATATTACCTCTTATTTTCTTAAGACACCTTATCTTTCTCATAATTACTCTCCGGTTCTTATATTTTTTAAATCTTTGTAGCCTTTCTGATCGGAGGCTTATTTCTATCTTCACATTTATTTCTATATTATTAAGTAATTAAATTGATTGTCCTACGTTACTTTCTCTATTAAACTTCAAAGGCTCTTCTTTCATCCCTTCCATATTCTTTTTTCCTCATCAAACTATTTATTAAACTCTCCTATTTATCCTCTTATACTTTTAATTACCTTT